GGAATTGCGGCAACAGTTCCACAGAGTTGGGGTGTTGTACATCTCCTGGAAGCCCTGTCATCCTTTAAAAGACATACTTTTTTGGGGAGGGGACAGTCCATTCAACAGAACTGTCATAAGCAAACGTTCTCCTCTAAGTCCTTCCCCCATGAAATCACACACAACAGTTTATCTTGGAAACAAATCAGTGCTTGTTTTAATCTGCTTCTTAGAGGTTTCTTGCAGGGTCAGTAAGGCCTCAGTTATGGCTGCACTGACACAACCTCCATGGCTTTGCTTTAAGTGAAGTACTTCAAAATAATCTCTGGGAAAGCTAGAAAGTGGGTGCAATCAGATCCTTTGAGGAAGGATGTTTTCCTCTATCCAAACTCCATCCATGCTGCCAGGCTCCCATCACAGGACCAGAAGATGGTCTCCCAGCACAAGAGATCCTGACCTACAATGGCAAACGGCCAACACAGAGCAACAAGAGACATCCCTCTCCTCTCACCAGTAAAGTGGATTTAAAAAAAAACAAACAAGTATCTGCTTCTTGGGAAGGACTTCCACAAAGTGTGCTTTGAGATTGGAGCAATCTTGTCTTCTGCGAATAGCAGGAAGCTAACGTGCCCGGACCTGAATGTTTGCCACACACCGTGACACACATAGAGATGGCATCTTTCAATGTTTTCAACTTGCTGCCTTTGATTTTTGCAACGGTCAATACCTTAGAACAGTTTTCCATCATTAGCAGCAGTGTTACGGGATGTCCCAAAGGCCAATGACATTACGACTGTTTATTTGTATTAGATGGCAGGAGATAAGCACTTTAATGGAAAACTTCTTTCAAGAGTGACGCTTCTCTACATTCACTAGGCATGGCTGACCAGAAGGAACAGGGAGACAGGGTGTTTATATGCACGGAGTCGGTGGTTGCGAGTAACAGCCGTCTCCATCCTAAATTCAAAGTTGGATTCAATTATATGGCTGTCAGAGCATCTGCAGCATCAGCAGACATAGTCTTTACCTTTCAAGCACGTCCTTTCAGTTACCCTACTGACTTCCTCCGACAAATTAATCTGTGATCCTGCCAGACACTCCTATATCAGAGAGAGCAGCAGACTTCCAAAACATGAAGCTATCAGAGGAAAGGATCAATCTTTTAGATCTCCTCTGCTAATGCTATTAAGAGAGCGATGTGGGCAACAGGCCAAAACTGGATGCCCAAATTCTAACAGTAGAGAACTATGCTCACAAAATACTGGGTGTTGCACAAAACTGCTACGCCCTAAGGATATAATTGCATAGACAACTATTGGAAAAGACTTCCTATCTCATGACACAATGCTGGGCTTCCAGTTACTTTTGCTAACGAGGAAGGAAATGCTCCTACAATGAATGGCTGGAAACAAAAGCTGCCAACAGAATGGCTTCAAGCACTGCCACAGGAAAGGCAGCAACTCCTCATGCTTGAATGTTTCTCAGCAAAGCCCCTGACCTGGCTGCACAGCTGACCTCCCTGTTTTTAAGCAATGGTTAGCACAGCAGATGGATGGATGGGGCTTGCTGTTCCCTTGGGAGAGGGTCTCCTGGCTTCTACACAAGAAAACACAAAATCCAAACTTCTCCTCAAGAGAGAGGGATTCTTGTACATCTTTGCAACAAAACAAATAAGGGGGCTGGGGAAGAAGAAAACATTTTAAGATTTATTAACCATTGTATCATACATCTCTCTTTTGAAACCATAAGGAGAATCCAATCTGATCACACCTCTTGTTCAGCTTGTAAACAGCACCGCTGTATCTAGGAAGCAGATCTTTAAAAGGCAGAACCTAAAGACAAGGAGAAGGCTCCTAAAAAGCCAGTCACACAAAAAACGTGACCTATGAAAGCAACACGGAACCGTTTAGAGGGACCTACACAGAGACAAGTAGGTGCTCCAACTGCAAGAAAAATGTATGAACCACCAGAAGAAGTGGTTCTGAGAAGTAGGATTCAGTGATGCCAGCACAGAACAGCACTATTAATACCACTGTCCAGGCCACCACGGGCAGTGGAAACGAACACAAATGCAGAAGGAATGCTAAACAGGAAAGGCAAAACAATACCTAGAACTCAGCAGCTGGTTAAATGGATGCAAATTCTTTTCCCCCCTTCCCTCTGCTATGATTTCCCAGTCCCGGTTTGATCGTGGTTCCCACCATCGGACCACCATATGAATCAAACCAGCTCAGTCTCTGCTGAGGGCCAGAGCTGCGGTGTGTGTTGCAGACTGGAAGGGAGCTCCACGACCAGGGGTGAGGAGGAGAAAACATGCGAAGCACGTGTTTGCATTGTGCACATCTTTAAACACTTATCTGATCCTCCTTTTCCTGAACATACGTTAGCACATACACAAGAAAGAAAAACAGTTGCTGTGAATTTTCTGTGCGCTCGCTCGATTTGCTCGAGAACGGTGGGAACAAGTGAGAACAGAAGCGCTGAACTGAAGCTTTCATAAGGAAACCACTTGCGCCTTCTGCTGGAATCCAACAGCCAATTTGGTTTCTGGAAAATTACTGGAAATGTTTCTTAATTAAAAAGAAAACATACGAAAAACCAGCATTTTGAGAAAGGCAAGTTATTTCTCCATAGAGGATGATGCAGCCAAATTTCCACTAATGGCATGTACATGCCTCGGAGAAACAACTGCGTTCCTTGTTTCACGAAGGAAAACCTTCCTAGCTGTAAATGAAGGCAAGGATGAACCAAAGGACAGTATTTGTGTCTTCACAAGAAGAAGAGAGGGAGGTGATCATCTAGAGAAAAACTACTGCCAATATTTAAAATATCAGCCCACACTACAAACACGACCCGTGCTGGCACAGAGGCTGGATGCAAATCAGACTCAGTTAAAAAAAGCAGGCTCGACTCGCCAAACCTATGAGGTTTGATCCAGTTGCTCAAGATCTGCCTCTATCCAGTAAAAGCTATTACCTCTGACACAATTTCCTGCAAAGAAGGGAAAAAGCATGATTAGTGGGTTGACAGAGCAGCGGTGGCTTCTGGACTGCGGCAGCATCTGCAGCGCTGATCGGAAAGAAAAAAGTCAGAGTTCTAGAAAAGAAATTCATACATCAAAAATTAAAAGAGTAAAGATGCTCTGAACAACTTCACCTCTTTTTTGCTTCAAAACGCTGTCTGAAGACAGTCTTTTTAAGCCCCGTAAATCAGTAGCGAGGCACTAGTCCTTCACCTGGAGCACAGAGCTAATGGGCTAACATGCAAACCATGGTGTAGGCTCGGCTTTCCTGCTGCCTGCATGTCAATGGATGGTACAGGGCCAGGTCTTCCCTCTGGGATTGACTCCTGCTGTCCACTCCAGGCCAGTCTCCAGGGAAGAAAAAAAAAGCACAGGGCACTTTCTGAAAATTGGCTATGCCCAGCAAACCTGCAATGCGCTGCTCACGTTGGGTCAATGGACACCCATTTCGTTTATCAGCTCTGACTTCCTGGTATTGCCCTAAGGAGGGTTTTGCTTCCTGTACGAAATGGATCACGATTAAAGTAGGAGACATATAATTTTAAGAGATTTGATAATCACCACTGATATTTGGGTGCCCAAAGGCCAACTCCTCACCTCGCTGGTATACAAAAGGCGTGCTCTCCCTGGCATTAACTCCCTTGCTGGGGCTGGTGGAAAGCTAATCCTTATTTTTTAGCAGGTTTATTGCTCACCACAGTGCTCGCTTGAGTGGCCTTTCTCTGGTGAGAGAGGAACAATGAAGACATGAGAACAAGAGGAGCAGAGCAACGTGCTTAAAGTGTTACTGGTGCAGCTGGTGGCATCCCTCGTGTGAAACCGCACAGTCTTTCCAGTCCATGCTCAAGAGCAGATTGCAAGAGGGGCTCTGGTCCTTCTTAGCGCTGAAATGCAGGGTGTCACCCTGGGAACGATCCAAACCTTGACAGCTGTTTCACATCTCTGTCTTATTAGAGATAGGGAAAATGGAATAAACCATGGTTATGGTATTACGTGGGTCAGCTATGATGCACGTAAGGACATCGGTATTTTGCAGCTTGGAGACAAACAGACACTGTCATAGTGAAAATCTAATTCTTGCCTCGGTAAAAATAGACCAGCTAGAGTCACGAGCAACTATGAGATTATCATAATTTAAAGGCATTAATGGAAAAAATCATCATTTCTAATTCAGCTTATTTCCTTTGTGCATTTGACAGTGCACTGTCTAATTGTTCTCATTGTTCCTCATGCTCCCGCCACTTATCGCTCCCTCACCAAATCCTTGCAAAAACGAGCAAGGATTTTTTTAACGAAGTTTTAACATTTCATAAAATAATATATTCCCAATAATGTAGTCCAAAGCAAGATGAGAACAGGTCACAACAATTAAGTAGGTAGCAATCGTTTAATCCAATCAGGGTGCTTTTTAAAATGAAAGTGCTCACACATTTTTAGGACGTTATACTATCATATTTATAGCCTCTCAACTGAAATAAAGTAGTGAAGTGCTTTTACCTGGTCTTACAGTTCTGTGTTTTGCTTGCAAGGATCACTATCAGACAAGAGAGCTGTACAATTCAGATCTTTCACATTACTTCAAATGCTAAAACTGTTTACCACAAATTTATGCAAGCACTAACCTTTCCACACCTCGAGCCTTTTCGTCTGTGCAGCAAAACTATGCTCCTGCTCTCTCATACACGTGGAAGCCAAAAGCTTTAATTCATTGCTTGTGAAGTAGTGCTACTTGTAAAGTACTCAAATATTTTCTTCTTCTTCAGACCCACGACTACCACTAATTTTTAGAGAATGACTAAGTGTCGAAACGGGAAGATAGCAGTGGCACAGTGGGAGGACACCATTTTAAAATATTTAATATTAAAGTAATTGAACACTTCTGAATTTTCTCAAGTCTTGTCTGATAATTTCTACTCCAGAAGAAGTCTCATTTACTAAACATCCAGGTCACTGTTAAAAAATAGCCTATTCTCAGTTGTCATCCCGTGGCAATCAGAGCATAACCACATACTTTTACATGCAAACGAACCTCTCACTGATGAGCTGTTGGAATCCCATGGTTAGATTTAATTTCATTACATTAACAGTTTGTTATTACTACCATTTAATTTAAGCAGTTGATCACAGACTTAAGCAGTGCTTTAAGATTATTCTTATTTTGACTTCAATCAGTCTCAGCTCCTCCTGCGGTTCTCTCTTCAGAGTGCTTACAATTGCTGTAGGAGAAAAAGCCCTGCTCATTCGCCAGCACATCATACCAGCTTACTGAGCTCGTTTGGGACCTTGGAGATGTGAAGGGAGGCACACAAGCAAATATGAGATGAAAGCTCTGGCAGAGGCCATTTTCTAGAAAAAAACAACTAAGGAGCTGCAGCCACTGTTCCATACATTTGATAAATCCATGTATTTCGGGGACAGCATCCCGTTATTTTTCCAAAGGCCAGATTCACACAGCAGCCTTTAATCGACTCATCCACATCACTGACATTATGCAACGGAACAAAAAGACTTTGCAGCTCCAACGTGCAGCCTGGGGAACACACAGGTCACAGGAGTGTGCCTGGGCACACGGGAGGCTCTCCTTCCTCAGCCCCTCGCCAAAAACGCTAATCCCCGTGTGCACATCAATTAGTGAAAACCACACCTCCCCTGGGCTTCGTTTAGTAAGATTTACGCACAGTTTTTCTCACCTGGGTGATTAACGACATGAGTTCAGAAGCCCCAAAAGAACCTTCGCCTTTACCTGCGACCGCAGAACGCGCGCACAAGCGTTTCACCGACACAAACACGCGCACGTGTTAGGGAGCGGAGAGCGACTCACCGAATGCACAGGAAAGGAGCTGTGCCGGTTGAGAAAGGAGTTAGAGACTGACATAGTGAGGCCCTGAGTGGCACCGGAGTCCTCGGGGGTGAAGGGCACTTTAGTTTGCTGGACACAGTAGGAGACAGGAGAGAAAGATTTTTTGAACAGGGAGAAGAAAGCAAGAGACAGAAGACACAAAGAGAGCAGAGAACAGGCTATGAATAAAGGATCAGAAATGCTAACTGTAAAACAATGCATATAATGGCTTGCTAAACAAACAGCTATTCATACAGCTCATCAGAGCCAGACACACCAATATGCCTTTCTTGAGCTTAAGCCGGCATGACAAAAATCACAGTTCAAATCTTCTTTGTTTCACAAATCCCTTAAAAATAAACTCCCGCCTCCCTGTTCCAGTTCCCCCATGGACAGCTGCTGCGGGCAGAAGCATCTGTTCCTCGCTGCCCTTTTTTCCCCGTGGTGTGGGGGGCAGATGCCCAAAGGAGGAACTGGCTCTGGCTTCTGGCTGCCAAGCGGTCGCCTCTTGCAGACTATTTATTGTGGCAACCTGCAGACTGGGAATTTGGACACACTTCCAGTGTGAGCTATGGGCCCTCACAGGTACTGCAGAGATACTGGGTAACGGTATGTCCAGCCATTTTTCAGTCCAATCCAAAATTATACACCATTTGCACAGGAGGGAGATACTGCCCTTGAAGTAACAAATACTATTAAGGAATTTCTCCATGACAGTAAGGAGTCTGAGGGAGGCTAAGGTATATCTAGGTTTTCTCAGCTCTGACTTGTTGGATATAATGAACAAGTGCTTCATAAGTAAGATCCAAAGCTCACAAGAAAGGACTTCCCAATTATAATTTTATAGAGGAGTCCATGCAGCAAAATTTGCCTCCTGCTCGAGCACCTGATGCCTGTGTGATTTGCTGTTTCAGAAACTCTCACGGCAGCAGGAGCAGAGGAACAAGAGTCTGGTGGCTTTCACAGTGATTGCTGAATAAGCCATCGTCTGCTTGCACCCCTACAGAGACGAAGGTAAGGGTGGGAGGCTGCACTTGAAGAAACCTTCGCTTCAGGGGAACTGCGAGCAACACCTTGATGGTATCAGCTTGCAAGACTACAAGAATGCCTAGCAGGCAAACCAGTGACAACTTGGCTGCCCAGATAATGATTAAAGGGCAGCAAAAAAATGCTTTGCGTCAGCTGACAAATTCAGAAAAGGAGTAGAACTTCCCTTGTGCGCAATGGCTACAGTAAATCTGTGCTTAACACACCCTCTCTTGTGGCCGTGTAGACCAAGTCACCACTGGAAACTATCACTAGAGTGTAGCCACCTCTAGGAGGAGGTAGGGCAAGGGACTACAAGCCATTACAGTGCAAGGATCACACTGACAAGGGGGCTATAGACTCTGGAGAACTACCTGATCTCCCAGAGAGGAGTCCTGTAGACTCTTCAGTGTCCCTGCAAAGCAGCTGGGACACAGGCATTTAAGGTCTTGTCTCCACGAAGCAATAATTAATAATACTCAGTTTAGCTTAGCTGGAAATGTTACTTTATCTTTTTAGGACTCCTACCTGCATCACAGGAATGTAGTAATGCAAATCCCCAAACTAGAGTTCTCGGTTGCTTTTCCCATTTGATTAAAAATTAACACCCTGGGACAGCCAAACTTCAGAACAGATAGCATGAAGAAATATTGCAACAGTTGCCCTCATGATGGTAAGACCATGGCTCTGTTCCCACATTTCTTCCTGTTTTGTTAAAGCCATGGCCAATTTAAGCTAGCTACATCAGCACAAAACATGCCTTTTTTTTTAGAGTAGAGTAAATCAGATCATTAATATAAATTAAACCCCTAAAGTTGGAGTTAAAAAAGAGAAAAGAAAGGAAGACCCTTAAAAAAAAAGAGGGCAAAATCCCAGCTCTGCTGAGGTTGGAAACAAAACTGCTGCTGCCATTGCTGAGGCTGGGATTTCATCCCCCACATGGAAAATGGCACTTGCTCTACTTTTAAACCCACCACCTAACACACATACACATGTGAATGTGCCTTTTTGTGCTGGCAGTCTGGAAGGGCCAGCAGAACACTGAAAAACAGGTAAAATCCTGAATCCCACAAGGGGACTAACATGGAGAAAATATGCATGAGTTAAATAATGGTTATACCAAAGTTCTGCGGCTCTGGCAAACACTGAGCCACAGAAGCAGTTATTATATTAAAACGGTTATTATTAGTGGCATCCTTGACAGCAGTTTCAAAACAGCATTGGGAACAACGGTGCAGCAATCTCTTGAAAATTGTGTTGCCCAGCGTGTCAAAATCTTCAAAGCAATTGTCGTTACACAAACCTGTAGTCTGGCACAGATTCAGCTGTGCCATGTGGAAGACTAACGCTGCATTTTTAGGGCATTTTAGGACTTTCAGAGCTTACGGGGAATAGTCTGAACATGAGGTTAGAAGGGAGCGCAGGAGCTCAAAGCAGATGACGCAAAATGTCTAAAAACGTGTTAACAAGATGACAAGGAGCATTCTGTGGCAACACCAACAAGACAACCTCCCACCACCACAGCTGATCGGAAACAGCAGCGGGAACAACAGAGCTGCTCCAGGAGGCTGGTGTGCGCTGCTGGGGAGGGCACCGCGGATGTCACTCACCAGCTGCCGCTGTTTGGGTGGGAGAGCAGGAGGAGGTGCCAGATCTTGAGAGGGATCTGAGCTGATAAAGGAGTCGTTGATCCCATAGACTTCCATGAGGTGCTTGTTCTTCTGCTGGTAGATGTGCTCGTTCTGAGGGGTCTGGTAGAACATGGACGGCTGCGGCTCTGAATAGTCTTCCACAAACTGCATATATGCCATCACTGCAAAAAAAGGTCACATCACTGCTCCTGGTCCACGTGCTGCAGCTGCAATAAGCAGGCAGGTGCTCATCCTCAAAATAAATAAAGAATAAGGCCATGCCACTCTCAGATGGGCTTTGCTGCAGGCCAGGAGCAGAATTATTAAGGATCAGAAGTGTACTTAATAAACGTAAAATACAGAACTCTCTTCTAGACACCTGAGAACAGGAGCGACAGATTATTTAAGTGTCATAAAGAAGACTAACCAAGGGCTTTTTGTAAATATGCTGTCACGCACAAGATACTCTGTGATCATTCCTCCCTTCCTCCTGATAAACAAGCAGTTGTCAGTTTTTGTAAATCTGGTCATTAGGTGGCAACTATTCAGCTTCTGCTGGCATCTCAGTCGTACAGCTGAAATGAATGGGTGACTTCAGTGAAAGCTGTAAATACGACGGCCGCAACGCAGCATTGGCGCATCGCGAAGCCGGTTCCCACACTAGCTGCAAGGCAAAGGCCTCTGTTCACCTGCCAGCCTATTTCAAACAGGATGCAGCCGTGCAAACGGGTCGGCAGGAAGGAGTCGCTTTGCACCTGTCTTTTGCACCTTTTTTCAGATTTCCTCTAATATTTTAAACTCCATTTAGAAATGGAGCTAACACAGCTGCCCCTTGCCACAGAATTATAACCCTCCTCTAATTTTTTTTGGGGGAAAGGTTGTGGCAATCAAGTGCAGGAAACCTCAGCTGATGGATTTCAATCCTGACCGGTAACACCTGCTGTCCCATCCTGTGAGCCCACACGGTGCTGCCACTGGACAACCTGCCCGTGTTCCTCAGTACTGCCAGCTCCCACACAGCTCTGCCAAGGCTGCTGAAATTCTGACCTCCAGCACTCCCTGCTACCCGAGCCTTGCTCCTCCTCCTCCCCCAGCTCACCTCCTGCCTTCCCAGCACCACTTCACAGATGTAAGTCACCATCCATGCTGGTTCAGACCTCTCCTTTCCGAAGGGAGTGTGACAGAGGTTTCGAACGGCACGCACGTCGTGCTAGTGTGTGTTTGTGCTCACCCGTCTGCTGGTGTCGGCACTCATGTTAAAGCCAAGATCAAACTTGCTCATGCACATGAGTTTCAGCTCAAGTCCTAATAGTGAAAAGAAGCACGTTCTGGCAATATTCTCCTATTTGAAATCATGGTGAAGGGGTCTTGGTGTAGAACGTACACCAAGATACTGTTTTTAAATACCAGTGATTCGGTCAACGAAGGTACTCCCATTAATGCCCTGAAAAATGCCTTGGTATCATACAATAACTTCAGAGGCTGAGATCTAAAGAAGGCTTATGAACAATATTTCTCTAGCAGCAAAAGTGAATTAAGGATCAAGACTCCTTGGAGAAGTGTAGAGGACAAAAGCTTGAGGGAAAAGACCACATTTTGAGAGCTCATCAACTGAGCAGGACTAGAGCCAAGTCAGACCTGGCAGTCCTGGTATAATGCAGCAGACATTGCTAAATTCAGACCAACCCTTCATGTGGAGTTGCCTACAAAAACAGTGCTACGCTTAACATTCCAGATCTGAAAACAACACTCGGGATCGATGCCTGTGAGGTCCTGGGTTCGGACGTCTGTATGATGCTACGACTCGGGAAGCGTTGGTGAAAAGGGTATCACATTAGACACTTGCATAAAATTAAATTACTGTAACCCAAGGTAGTAAGCCTGAATGCTGCTGAGAGCCTTAACTCAATCTGCAAGGGAATAATGAAGAGCTCTTTTATCTCAGCTCTTTATGAGGCTAACGCATCCCATCACCACAGCAGCTCTCCTGCCTTGCTTGTTACAACTAGTCTGGGCTGGGTGAGCGTGTCTCTGCTTCTACTTTGTCGTCTTCTCTGTTTTTAGGTGAAGCGAAAAACAGTTGGGATGGTGAAATACAAACCTGGCTCAGGAGTAGAGACTGCAGAGCGCGAATTAAAATGGGCGTCACAGGAGAGTAAGGGAGCAGGACCACTGCTGAGATTGCTGTTTGCAAAGAGTCTTCTCTCCCCCTTCTCCCTCCATCCCCTTCCCTCTCTGCTGTCGTTTTTAACAAGGCAGAAATTTAAAAAAGCAGATGGGAAATTACATCAGCAGCTCAGATGAGGCTGTACGCCCTGCAGCGACTCTATGCAGAGGCAGGGATGGGGGCTGTAACCTGCATGGTGAGCAGCTGGGGTGGAGTGACAGTCTCAAGGCAGCACCCCAGGAGAGAAGAAAGGCATGAGGAGAAACCTCTCCCATCACAGTACCATACCCAGTTTACGTCATTTCTGAACCCAGGCAGAAAATATTTGAAAATAAAAAAATAAAATCTCAGACTGAGGCTAGGAACACCTTCCCAGCGATCTGCTTGCAGTGCTTTGGCTCTCATTTCTGAAGGACCTAAAGCTGCTCAGGGGTTTGTGCCACAGGGGCACACACCAGTTCTGCCCCCGTGGCAGAAGTTACAGGTTTTGCACCAACAGCACCCCAGCCAGCTTGTCGTGCGGCAGCTCGCCACGCAGCCAGTGCTCTGCGCTGGAGAGAGCAGCTGCCAGTCCTGGAAGTGGCACTTGGCTGCAGGAGAGGAGAGAAAGTGGCAAACGACCTCTGGTAAGGAAAACAGCCTTGGACCAGTGGTTGTTGGGGTCCGCAAGGAACAGCTCGAAGATTATCAGCAATAAGGCACGTGTGCAATATAGGTAAGGCATAGTCGTATCCGATGAGGAGGACTCACTGAAGGTCCAGCCTGACTCCTGGAGCTGTGTCACCAGCCTGTGTTACAGCTGGCCCTGCACGAGTGCAATATATTTGTGTGGGCAAGAGCCAAAACAATGGAAGTTCTTAAGCTATTCCACACATCAACTTAGTGGAGAAGTCAAGGTCAAACAAGCCAGTCTTTGCTGTCACCTCGGAGAGGAGAGCTGTTTTTCAAAGGGCTCACATTATCCGCTGGCTAAGCCCAGACTGCCCTCAGCGTGGTTCCTGCAGTTAAGTACCAGCTGCTTACAGGGCACCAGGCTGCATTTTGTTCCCACTGACAGGGAGAGAGGAAACATGAATAAGTGCCTCGCTTCTAGTTTGCAAGCTGTTTGGGGGAGGATCTTGTTATTTCTGACTCTGGGCTCTTCATGGCAGAAGCTGCTCCGTGTCTGTGCCTTGTACAGCAGCAGCACGATGCTGGTGCTCAAGCAGAAGTCTGGAGTAATTTGCCCTTAGCACGGTAACATGTACAGTAAACAGTAACAGCACAGTAAAACACCAATAATTCATGCCAGAATAAAGCACTTATCACTCCTCTGTTTAAGCTATACCAAAGCCAACTCTTGGAGGTCCCTCTGAGCACAGCTCACAGCAATACACATGGTTAACTAAAGCAGGATTCGCTGTATATTATCAACAAAAAGACCATCAAAGTCTCTGCTGCAACATTTCCTGCCAACTACCAAAAGATGACCCACTACAAAGGGACTACAACCAAGTCCCATCTGTGAGAGCTCTAGATCTTTTTAATAAATTCATGCATCTCCTCGGGATCCCAGGAGTTTGTTGGAGTTGTGGAAGCAGCACTGCCTCACCTATGTGATCACACAAGAATATCTACACGCGTCAACCTCCAGGCAAAAAAACCCTGGGTGCTACTATACAACCTGAGTAATGTTTTACTGCCCTTTTAATGTTGAAAATAAAAGTAAAACTAACAACCACAGATCTGTGGTGTGATATACCGTGGAGTAAGACAATCTAAAACAAGTTCTCAGTGTCACATGAATGCAATTAAAATATCCACAGCAGTATGGTATCAGCCCAAATACTACTACAAGCTCTGCAGCAAGGATGCTTATCAAACCATCAGAGCTGACAACACATTAGATAACAGCTTCTGCCTTTCCTAACAATGCAATCTGATCAATGCTCCAAGAGCTTCTGATAGTGCCAGATGACAGACGACAATTAACTCTAGTCTAACATCAAAGAAAATTCACATACAAGGCCTTGGTATTGAGGTTAAAAGTGTGCACGGGCAATAAAAGAGAAGATAGTTTTTAAACTTGTTTTTAAGTAACTCCTTGACGTCTCATATGACAACAGAAAACAAAGACATGAGGCTTAAAGAGAAAAGTAAACAGCCCAGGCCTTTCAACTGTCAAATTGCCTCCTACCCAAGATTCAACCCAGGCATCTCCCCCTACCAAGCTGCCTACGCGTCCAGAGGCGCGTTTCCCTGCATCCATCCCAGCCTGCATGGTGTAAGACCACCTGGGCCCAGCCCTTGTTATTAACACCCAAAGCCCACCAGGACCTGATCCGACAGTCGGTAGCCCCCGTGTCACACCCCCTTGCAGCTGGTACTGCAGCCGAGCATTCTGAACAGCACGAGCCGTAACAACCTGGCTACGCCCTGGGCCAGCATTTATTTCCTTTCTGTTGCCTGCAAACAAACATCTCAGCTCCTTTTTAGCTGCTTTCTGTATCTTTTAACTGCTTGCTTACCAGAGAGGGACAAAAGTGATTTCCTGCATGTGGGGACGCTGAACTATGAGACCCTCACGCTCAGGTGGATCAAGGTTTGTCATCTGATTCAAATCCCAGAGGGTTACAAATGTGGACTGGTCACTTAGGGATAATGGAAATGCTTTTAGCCAATGCACTTTTGGGATAAAAAAAAAAAGTGACTGGCACAGTAAACTATCCTGGGAACGGACAGAATACTGACTCTGCCACATGGCACACCAATCTCACTTCTACCTTATTCTCAGTGAAAAGACTGTAACTGCAGAAATGAGTCAGAATGCTGACTCGGCACTTTCGAATCAGCTCTTCACTCGGGCTGCCAGCCATCCAGCGTGAGGCTGTTGATCCCAATTCTGCATCCACTACCTCCTCGTGCAACGTACAATTGCAAATCAAGCCAGCAACTAGGAAACTAACATCTGCTGGATCTCACTACGTCGTCCACAGCCTTCCTTGGCAGATCAGTATGGCTGCTTTTTTGGCAAGAGGTTTCACATGTTTTCAGCCATGAACGTTACGGAAATCAGAATAAGGTCATGAGGTTGAGTTGTCTGAGGTTGAGTTGCAGTCAGTATGGTGTGCCAGGAGCCTGGCTGGGGATGGCGAGCCTCTGTGTTTAGAGGCTGCTCGTTTTAACGATGTGGGAAATTCTTAAGCATCCAAAGGAAACGAGATCGTGTAGCAAAACAGCATGCTGTACTGGACACTAGGTTAATAGCATTGTCTTGCACAGCAATGTGGGTGACCATGTTCCTACTGCCAAATAACTGCTCTGGCAATGCTTGGTTTTGGACAGAAAACCAGCCCTTTCTCTGAGCTCTTGGAGAGTACCCAATTCTCTTCTGCAGTGGGAAAACACTCATAAAATGGGGGTGGGCGGGGGAAGGAATGGACATAAGAAGGGAGAATAAACCAAGAAGATGTGGAAGGAAGAGTGCCTCAAAGATGTGCACTCAGGTAAACAGAGAAGTAAAATGTTCTCACTATAGTAAAGAAGATGCTGCATGACGTCAGCTCCCCTGGGCCTGGATCGTTCCTGCCTCCAAGAGTCTCTCCCTGCCCACCAAGGGACTGACACTTCCCCTCCATGCCTTTGACACTGACTAACTGATTTTGATGCTCAGCCTCAAGTAAGCAAGGGCATTGCCTTGGGGTCACCAGTACTTAGTGGTCATCAGAAGTACAACAACCGCAAGGAAAAGGAAAGGTAAAAGTAAAACCCAAACACAAGAAATTCCTTACTGTGTTTGTTTTTCTTCTCTGGCAGCGGTGGTGGCTTCTCTGGGTCACTGTTAGAATCTGGAGCAGCAAAGTCAGCAATGAATTCATCTGGTGCTGAAGAGTTTCCTTGTTGGAAAGGCAAAACAGCAGCAAACGGTGTGAAGGTTACTGATGGGACAGACACTGCATTCTGCATGTCATCCTCCGAGATGTTATCATATTGGGAAGGGTGCCTCTCATAGGACACCCTGCAGCCCGAGTTATCTGAAGTCTGAGAGGCTGCACTCCTCCTCTTCTTTTCTGGCAAAGCTGGAGGAGTCTCTGTTGGCTGCGCTGCTCCCGAGAGGCTGCAGAATTCCAGTGGTGGAGAGCTGCCCTGCGGGAGCTGGAAAGCATGTCCATGGAAAGGGGAGCCAGACTCACCCAAGGACTCTGGCAACGGGCTGAGGATAGCTGGCACCTGCTGAGGTATCTGATCAGCATTCGAGAGGTCCTGCTGCAGGAATTCATAGTCTGGATCATAATGATCCGATTGATCTAGTTAAACAGAGGGGAGAGGAAAATGATGCATTAGTTCTCACTTCTACTGTTTAGCCCTTCTCCATTCTGTCCCTCCCATTCCATCAGTTAATTAATCAGTTCATTTCATCAGAGTGGTACTTCCTTGCTACACCTTCTGTAACATCCAGCCTTAATAAAACTCTTATTGTTTCTTTACACTAGCAAACAAATAACAAAAATCCAATAGGTAGATCATCGCAGAGATTATTTATGTTTCATATTTATATTTTTGTTTTCTTTCCTAACATTGTTTTAGTCTACCAGGACTGTCATTTCCTACTGATGTCTGCAGACAAGGCTGGAATCAACAAAACATTCCACTTGAGAGCTGAATTGAGCTTGAACACAATCATCTATAGCTAGGGAAACACGTTCCCCTGGGCTTTTTCCTATCCGACAGAATATAATTCTGCCCAGAACCGCCTGCAGCGACTACAAGATGACAGTTGCAAGCGCAATCCATTTACTTCTGCATCACAGCCATGACAGCTCCCAAACGAGAGCGATGGGGGCTCCTCCAGCGGCCCTGGACAACCCCCCCCGCTTACCTAACGTTTCACAGCTTGTGTTGCGGGAGCACTGACCGCTGTCGCGGTCCAGAGAAGAGAGCTGCTCGTCAGACTTGCTGAGTTTGCCGATGCTACTGCACGGCGAGAGGCGAGGAGACTCCCCCCCATAGGAGTGGCTTCCACCCGACAACCTTCTCTGGGCATAGCAGTCAACGTCAAAATCCTTAAGCAAAAAAAACCAAATCACTGTCATTCTTGGCAGCTTGCTAGCAAGTAAGACGTAGCTCGAGGAGCAAACATCTCACAGCTGCGTTACGAAAACCAAGAAGGGAGAGGATCATTGCTGCTGCCCTCTCTAGTTAGACAAGCTTGTCAAGACCACAGAAAACCTCTGATTTGGTAAAGAGCCCATGCCAGGGAGCTCTGCAAGTTCTTGCTTCCGGGCAGGGCGTGCTGTGATTCACAGCGGACTTCACAGACGCGGAGAAGATGACCGAGTTCCTCACCACTACACGCGTCTGATGACTGCTTGTCAAGACGCTGATCCCAGGTAACCAGACTGCAAGATTTCTCATTAAATAACTGGGGCTTTGGCATATATTTGGTTAGCTTAGGTGCACACAAAGGGAAAATACGCCATAGTGAGATACAACTTTCTGTGCCTATGACTACATTTCGAGTTTGGAAATATAACCTCAAGCTTATCAACCTCCGAGTGAACTCCTCAAATATTCCTGCTCCTGCAAAACAACTTAAGTGTGATTGTGCTAGTACGTGAAGAACTGCCACAGCTTTATCTAGGTCAGCCAAACGACTGCAGAGGCTTCCTATGCCAGAGCTGAGGCTTTGGGGATGAGGACAAGATTTGATTTTGGTGCGATTTAATGTGATTCAGGTCCTCACTGCTGAGTTAGTAAGTTCCTGAATGCATAAAGCAAACCCAGACATTTGCAATCTCATAAAACCCAGTAGTAGCACAAGCAATGGAATGAGATTAACACACACAGTCCAAAGTTTCCAGAAAATTTACAAATTTCCCCAAAGCACCAGCAGTGGTCGGAGCAGTTGCTCAAATTACTGTTCAGGTTAAAGGATGTTTTAAAATTGGGACTGGATGAAGACGATCTTGTGATCTCAATATGCCACATGCTCCCTGGCCTGCAAGTAAACCTTGGTGAGATCTCGGCAAGCTGAGCCAGCTGCTCCACACCGTGATCTATTCAACACAGCAACACCCAACCACTCACATCTTCACAGTCTGTTACAGCTCAAGGCAACAAAGTTTGTAGCAATTTGTTAATTGAGTCCAACAGCACTATAAAAAAAATTAAGCAGTTCACATTATTTATTATACTGACATTCCTGCCACTAAAACTCCCGCTCCAGAGCTCTCCCGTACAGGGCTGTTTGGGATGAGCAGAGGCATGCAGGGAACTGCACAGCTGCAGGTCACAGCATCTCTCTGAGCTTTTGCTACAGCTGGCAGCACGTCTCCCTTGGCTCTCACAAAGGGGTTACGCCATTACCTGTCTGTTGATTCCAACAGGTAAACTGGACCCACTGGTGGCTCGACTCATGGGGGCCACCACTGCCACTCTGGTTGGGGAAGGTGCCGACTGCCGTTTTTTAGGGGGCAATGCTGGTGGAGGGCTGCAAGACACAACAGACATTGATGCTTCCATTAGTCTTCCAGCAAAAAGACTTTTAGAGGCTTCACAAACTTGTTTTCCAAAAAGCCTTTGACTTGCCAGGCTCAAAGCTCACAGGTTCTTGTCCAAAGCTTGCCAGAAGCTATTCAGCAAATTGTATCCACTAACAAATACCAATTTGAGAATACCCTCACAGGTAAGGTCCTGCTCAGTGATTTATTTTTTCAGGTTGGAAAACAGAAACAACTGCTGTTTTAAAAATTATTTTTAATGGAGCTAATTAGCATGGTAATTATTTCTTAATAAAAATGGTGAAAATCCAAATGAAACGTTTTGGTTGACCTTAATATTGTTTCCATTCACAGAAGCCCCTCCTCCTCAAACCTTCCAGGTTTGAAAAATGCTCAAAGTTTCAAAAATTTACAGGACAGGAAAATGGTTTTTTTGCCCCTTTACTCTCCCGGTGAACTTCAGGGAACAAGACGGTCAGTGTTGCTCTCACCATGTATATTGTCAGGGCTCCTGTTTTGGCATGAGTCTGTTTCAGAAACACACATTAGCAGTAACTAGTGAGATTTTAACCACAATACTTTTAGCTTTTGCTTCTAATGACACATAATTCTGGTAATCATCAAGCCTGCGAGCTTCCCAAGAGCACACATATTCTATTCCTGGAACATACCAGGAAATTTTTATACAACCCATGAGAATTCATAAAATACATAGATATGTGACTCTTTTTGCCAGCCACAGCCCTTGATGTTGTATTTTCAAATTAGCACGACATGTATTTTTCACACCATCCATTAGCACCAGTACTTGAGAAGAAAAACATCATACACACAGACCAAAAACCTGCAAATTGGGGGTTTTCTCTTCCTTCTCAAAATAGAACATAGAAACTTTCATGTGGTTACTCACAGAACAGGGTAAGAACAACCAAGTAGAAGATTTTTTTTCACACACTATTGGTTCCTTTCACTCTTAAGCTGATATGCAATGCAGAACAACCTGGATGTACAGGACAGATTGGTATCTGCCAGCTGAGGTTATGGGAACATTTTCCATTGGATATGACAAGACTCTGTTGCACAGTGTGGTATTCACATCATTTTAAATAAGGGTCTTATGCATTTATGTGATGCCTCTCATGCATGGATCTCAGGGCATGGCACTATCCTCACATAAAAAGAAGGAAAGGAAAACACAGATAATGAAGAGTATTGCTCAAAACAAGACAGAAAGAGCACAAAGTCATAAACAGAGTCCAGGAGCAGGGAAGAATTACTCTGGAGGACTGGAAATTCAGAGGCATCACTAACCCTTCTCATGACCTCTCTTGTGCACATTCTGCCAAGATTGTTTAAAAAACAAGAAGCTGGTAAGAGCCACTGGTATTCTTCAGTCAGCGGGTTGGCCGGCATTACCTGTTTTCTGCCACACGAATGCTAGGTAGAGGAGGTTTAGGAGGTGCAACTTCTTCGTCCATGGAATCTGTCAGTAGCTCGTTGGATTGAGTCATATTAGTCGTTTTGTTGAGGATCTCCATTTCTCGGTCTGTAAGGGGAAGTTCTGATGGGCTGCAACACGCAAAATACAGATTGGAGATCATAAAACACAGCTGGAATGCAGCATGCTGACAGATTAATACATATTTTAAATCATATGCAATATGAGAGGCATTTATAGCAGAAGGCAGAATTTGCATCTGCAGGTGGAATTCCACGTACATCCAGAATACAATGTGCACATGTCACCCACCTGTCTGATTTACATGCTGGTAAACTGGGTTTAACCGGACTTGTGGGAGAGGGATGCTCCTGCTTTTCAATCGTGAGTCTGACCAGCTCCTGATGGATGGAGAGGAGAAAAGAAAAAGAGAGCATAATCACTATTTGCTGAATGCTGCACTCAAACATCCTAGGACAGAAAGGGATGCTACCGTAGTAAACTCTTGGTTATCCAGGTTATGGATTAACGATGGCACGGACACAGAGAGAGCTGAGCTGGGTTAAGTCTGGTACAGAGCTGTACAAATGGTGCAGCACTGCTTCTGAGGAGCAGCCTGCACCCAGCAGCAGTTCAGCCTTATTTGAGTTACGTTCATAAACTCTGGCCCTGTGGGGATTCTGCACAAACCCATGTATGTGTCTTTTTGCTGTGCTTCCTCTTTCCTCTCTCGTCACAAATGTGTTCCAGTCCCCACAACACCCTAGATAATGGCAAATTGACTTTACATACATAAATATAAGTACAGAAAAAGGCTTGCACAGTGGAGTGCTTCACCTAGTCAGTAAAAGAATTAAATAATTGCTCTATATTTTATAAACAAGTATGTATTTGTTTCAAAAAGCAAGTTTTCTGTAAGATACCCAAAACCAAATTAAATAGTGAACACCTTTATTAAAAGGCCTGCTTCCCCTGAAGCCATCTTTTAACATGTTAGCAATGGAAGCTTTAATCTTCAAGGAACTGCTGCAGTGTATCTGTTATAGGCAGATAAGGCTCTGGATAAAGAGATAAGGGCATGATAATCCTGAACTACAAGCCTGCCAGCAGTCAAAACAACAATCATTCACGCCAGAAAGATGGAGAGAACATTTTATGGATGTCTGAGGCCGACAAATAGATCTACTGCTCACAGACACAAACACATGCCCCCTCACAGGCAGGCTGGAAAACTGGCACTGTTTCCCGACAGTATTGGCTTCCCAGCATATTATGCAAAGGAAACTATATGGGATCAATTTTTAATTTTTTTTTTTTTAAGCAGCCTGAAGTACAGAGTCATCATTCCAGTATTATCTTCACGTCCATGTCTGTTGAGCTTGGAAACAACTGGCATTGTTCTCCCAATGCAATAACTGTAACTGGAATGTCATCGTCATCATCTTACTGAGGAAGAGAAATATTCTAGTTCTTGTATTTTTATATAAGGCTCTATATAAAGCTGAACTTTCATGGGCCAACGCACGCACAGCAAGAGGAATAAAACACTGCACTGGATGTGTGAAGGACGGCATACACAATCCAAGTGTCCACCACAGCTGATTTCGGTTTCAATGCCTACTTAACATTCCTGGTGTGAGCCTGTGCTCAAAAACAATTTACACTGCATTAACCAAAAACATGACAACACACTCAGCTTTCCAGAAGTTGTCCTGGAAAATCCCACACACGAGGAAGGAAGAGAGAGCACAAACAGAGCACATACAGATGTTCATATGGGCTAATGCTATGAAGATGTCCCTGTCTGGGACAGAGATATGAGAGCCCTGGCAAGGAACTGTGTGTTCTGAGAAGTGTCCTGATGAGAAAAAAAGCACAGCACCAAGTCGACCACAGCCGACCAGTCTGGCCAGCTCCCACCTCCAAGGAGGGCCATGTCCTCCAACGGGGAAATACTCTGCAACAATGGGCAACAGACCAACAGGGCTTTTGACAATCTATCAGCTCCGCTGCAGTAATGCACGTTACAAAGGGTATAGAAAAGTAAAATACCTAAGGCCCTTCAATCACAGAAAAAATACAGTGCTAACACAGACACTGAATTGACTTCAGACTTCTTTGCTGAGTGTCCTTAGTTACTCAAAAACTTCCTGTTCCTTTTAGACTATAGAAATTTTACATGAAGTTTACAGAGCATCACTAGGAAGAACAAACATAGGACCTGGGAGCCTACAAACCCCAAACAAGGCTTTTCTGTAAATCAGATAATTTGGAAATCACACAGTGACACCGTTTGACTCTTCTGGCTGCAGCTGGCACCATGCTCCGAGTCATCATCAGGAGCGAGCAATGACACGACGGATTGCCACCTTCATGCCCTCTGGACAAGCTTCCACCACCAAAGAGATTTCTGGAGACTCTCATGCACTTCAGTGGACTTGGAGTCGGACATCGTGGGACTATTGGGTATTTGCCATCAAGGACAGTGACTCCACACAATATGTAAGAGCACAACGAAGGAAATAAAATGTATGGGCATGCAAAGCAAAAGCCAAAATACTTCTTAAATGCCCCCCTATAGAAAGAGCTATGGAAGGGAAAATGCCACGTCTCCTTTTCCCCACCTTTCTTCACCACGTTTCACACCTTAAACCAAACCAAGGCCAGTGCTGCAGCCTGTGGTGGTGGCAGCTGGACCACATCGGAGGAGCCCCTGACCCTCTTCCTATTCTGCCAGTTGTAATGGACATACGCTTGTCCATCATAGGGGAGTGTAGGCTACAACAGGGGAGAAAAACAATCAAATTTGGCTCAAAAGTACCTTTAGAATGATTGAAACCATTGCTGCTGTGAAAAAAACCCAAAGTACTTTCCACCAGAGACACTAAGACAACATATGATTGACAACACTTGAAAGGATCACCTTTTCCTCTAAACTTTGACAAATATCACCAGATTGCCTGGACTCTGACTATTTCTGCTCTCTACTAATCCCAAAAATAAGAACTAGTGTTTGAAAATCAAGCCAAAATCTTTAGTGTACACACAGAGGTAATCAGCAGGCAACCGAGCCAGATGCACGTTATGCTATTCCTTATCAGCAAGTAGAGATTCCTGCAGCAGTAATTAGAGATAATTAAAGCCTCTCTACAAACTTATGCTACTTCAGCAAGCTGGAAATTCCAAAATGAGATGGATTTTTAAGAGATTACGTACTCAAAACAAGGAGTTTGTTTTTTTTTTTTTATATATGCCTAGCAAGGCACTAAAACCTGAGATCACAGCAGCGAGTAACACAAGCGAACGAACAACTCCTTTATGTTTAATTCTGAAAACAAAGGGGGAAGTAAGCACTGAAATGTGGAAGTGGATCTTGTGCGATCTGCCAGAAAAACAAAAAGGGCTCCCCACAGCAGAGAAGTGTCCAACTTCTCAGTTCTGCTTCCAGATCTGAAAGCTGGCTTGGCCCTTCTAAAATAAACCTTGTTCCTCACTATGCAGTAGATGAGTGCACGCCGCTTCCAAATGCTGACCCGTTGATGGGCAGACACATTCACAACCACCCAGACAGCCACACACCTGCTCTAACCATGCTCCAAGCTGACCAGACATAAGCCAGCTCCAACTGGAAGGCCAAAATAACTTTTAGTCTAACAACAAAGTAAAGACTGATATAGCCATGGCTCTCAGCGGGGCTTAATAGCTCAGGCTTAGCACTGTATGGACACGCCTGCATGGCTTCCAGCCCAGCCTGGCTCGCAGCGCTGGCAGAGTGGGCACCTGGGACCTTCCACCCATCCATCCGCACAGGCAAACTGCCTTGGCTGGAAGGGAAGGTACCGAGGGGTTAGGTATTGCTGGAAGCGAAAGGACAGCGGGTGTCCAAGTTTCATGCAATGAGACTACACAACTCTGGATCTGGTCATTACACGGCTTTCCATGGGATTGTGCAGATTCCTTAAGTGATAACAGAATGAGCTACCTCGCTATTTGCTGGGGTATTACAGTTCAGATACCATCACGTACTGCAAATTGCTGCTGAATTCCAGCACTAGCAGCAGCTGAGACTTTACGTTAAACTCTTTTTCTTCATCCTTCTGTGCAAATTTAAGATCAGCTTTACTTTACAAATCTGGAGCTTAAAGGGCATATTGTGCAAAATAATCCTGGGAAATCTGCCTTCTTTAGGTGATGGGAATGTTGTGTTTCAAAGACATTTATTTAAAAGGCTCAGTAAGTAATAGTAGATTTTAGTATCCGTGTTTGAGCAACATTAAAGAGAGATTCAGAGCATGCTAACACCACACCAAGGCTCCTGAAAACATGACAGCCACACCTTGGGAGATCCACTTCATTTTTGCATTCAGCTCCAGTTACTAAAAATTAAGCTGAATTTGAGTACAGTGAAAGATGCCTGTTCCTGATACACTAATCCGGGTGAAACACCTGCTGCAGTTCTTAAAGCTCTACCCCAACTTTCCTTCTATACTTGAGCTAAACATTACCCTTCAGATTCAGCCCTGCAGTTGAAAGAGGCTTAACTTTCTCTACAGTTTGCAAACTAAGGTTCCCAGGAGATATGATGGTCTCTCTGCTGATGCCCTGGGTCCAGGTCAAGCAAACTTTTAAGTGCAGTGCTAGGATAGACGAAAGAACAGCCTCTGCGGCCGTCAGCCCCGACACAGGCCTGGGAAACAGAAATAATGGGTACAAAATGCTTACTGGGAGGTAGAAGGAAAGCCAGCGGCTTTCCCGGGTGGGGCAGGGAGGGAATGCTATAAGCAGGTCTCACAAAGGATATAAAGGTTTCTGTTAAACGTTCCCATTAGTTATGTACAATTAATCTCCAGAAAACCGAGCTTAGCTCATCACCTGTTCCACACCCTAATCCAACTGCTGAAAGCGGTGACGTATCACTGATGAATCCCTTGAAATTTATGTTAAAAGATGGAGCTGGAGTCTTTGATTCTCTGTGGGCATTGACAGGAAAGCATCTCCATGATATTTTGCCTAGACAGAAAATACGCAAACCTTGTCTTGTAATCTGCATGGGAGACTGGGAATGACTTGTCGAAAATTTAATACAATGCTCAGTAAAGCTTTATTGTTTCTTCCAATTCATCCAAATGCCAGGGTGAGCGTTTCAGAAGGGCACCTAATAGCCAAACCATTTGTGCTAGTCATTAACCAGCGCACCGAGCAGAATCATCTCACTTAGGGAGAAGTTCATTTAAGTGGTAGTTTGCTGAAGGCAAGAATAGGATCTCTGTGTTTTACCTGCACTTAAAAACCTCTTTCAACTAGATCTCTTCTAAAACAGAGTACTGTATACTTCATTTAATATAATTTACAATATTTGTCTCACATACCTTGACTCCATCCAGAACAGCTTTTATGACACCCTTCACTGTTGTCACCATTTCCTTGTCTTCTGAATTCACACCTTCCAGCATCACTTGATCAGACCAGCGAATGAGATTGGCCAGACTCTGGTACACACGGCTATAGCAGGACGAGATGGCAGAACTGGGCGGCAGGGGAGGAAATAGTTGAGAAAACAGAACAAAATTAAATCATGAAGACACTATCAAGTGTTATGAGAGCACCTGAGTTAAAGTGCATTTCACACTCTTAAAAATGTTATTGTTCTCCTTTTCTTTCCGACACTCAGAACTTATGTTTAGCAGGTGGCAAAGCCCGGGTTTCTCCTCCGCTGCAGGTGCTCTCCCGTTCTCAGCTCCAAACGGGACAACAGTACGAAGGTACCAACACTCAACAGCTCATTCTCACTTAACAGATGAATTATCTGGGCTGCAGGTTAACACAGCAATGCTGAAAAGAACGTGCTTTCCGTTTTAATTTACAGCTCCATCCTATGCCTTAACTTCAAAGGTAAACATTTAAGTCCTGTATTTCAGTCTATTATTTCAGTTTTATCTATGCTTTCCTTCTTCCTTATTAACTCTCCCCAAAAAAGTCCTGGATAATTGAGAGCTGACTGTATTCATTCCTTTACAGATCATTTCCTCGCTGTTTATGATGCCTGAAAACATGTAATTAAAACCTGCTTCTTTACAGAAATCGAACTGAATGAATCTCAGGTTTGGAAGCGGAAGGGTGTTGCTTTGTTTTGTTTTTAATGAGAAACAGAATTGAAGCTATTGTTCTGAAGAGGAAAAAAAAAAGAATTTTGGAAGGATGACAACTCTAAATAAAAGTTAACTGTAACAACAGTGCTCACAGGCATTTTCCTGGCCGTTCTGAAAACACTTACTTCATTACTAAACAAGGTGTGTTAACAGTACTGCTGATGGCAACGCTTCAACAATTCTTTGTAAAATTAAATCAATTTCAAACTGCATCAAAACCATAAACAGATAAGGGAAGGTGTAACCTTGCAATCATTACTGATAGGAGTGTTGCAAATCTCCCCATTTCTCTTTGGTATCCATTTTACACTGGCTTAACTCTGGTAATTTCATTATCTGTGAGAAGAGAATCAAGCCCACAAGCTTCAATGAGATTATTTAGGTGAATGAAGTTCACAGGACTGGGGAAAGAACTATTGCCATATTACAACCAGAGGGAGGGATGCAAACAATGGCAAGTACTTTTTTGTTTGGCTGGTGTTTTTTCTTTTTTTAAAGCATGCTGCTTGCCATTTGTTTTAATTTCAAATGAAATTAGCTTGGTAGGAAATACTTCCTAAATAGGGTCCTCCCCCATTTCTTTCTAAGGCTTTGATTTCTTTGCCATTAATCTTCAGTCTGCTTCCTTCTAAAGAGGCAGTAATTGAAAGCCCATTTTGTGCTAGATTTAATTACTTTTTTCCTTGATGCAAATGCTTCCCCTAAAGCAAAAAGAAGTCCAACAATAATTGTAGGCCCTTCTTCCACACTGACACAATCATAGACAATGGTCACAAACAAGTCTTGCTCACTTCTTGAAGGAGATTTGCTATCAAATCCCCTTTGTGTTCTGCCACTACTCAAAAGATATGAAGTGCAGAGGTGGGCACGAAAGGATGTGGCTTTCTGAGAATACCAGAGTCCTGTTTTTTCTGTGAGGCTAAACAAGGCAGAACATACGTATGTGATACATACTGTTTCCAGAAAGAGAGACTTATCACTATGTCCAAGACTCCATAGATTATATCAAAATTCTGCTTATATGGGTAAATATGGGTATCCAACTGTCAAGGCTGCATTAGTTCACTACTAAGAGAGAGAGTATAAGTAATTTGAAGAATAGAACTGCCTGAAATACTGCTGCTGCTGAAGACTACTTAGTTGATACTTATTTCCAAATAAATTATTGGAAGGAAAGATCACCCAGTGAACACTCAGTGGATACACAAATCAAAGCAAGCGACTATAAAGATGACATGTTCTATCCTAAAAGTATTTGCTGACATTTTACATGTTTTCCTGGTGTAAGTGGAAAGTTCATTCTTTCTTTTATTAAGTGAAAGCAGGTGCTTGTCAGGAATTTAATGACTGTGGGAAACTCGATAGCAACTGTAGAAACTTTTGTGTCCGTACCCGTAAGCCTGATGAATGTTCCGATTCTAAGAGCTATTGCTCTTTGTAGTTCTACAGATCTAACCTAAATTGGACCTCTTCTGTCTCAGCCACAGCTCTGATACTCACCCATTGCCTCCTTCCTTTTGTACAGTCAGACACAACCTTGGTCTATGTGTTAAGGCCAAACACAGCTAAGTATCTCTGTTTGCAAAACACCTGGCACCCTACTGCCATCTCAACCACACTATAAACCTTTCTTGCACCAGAACTGAAATAAGCATCTTGAAACAAAAATTTTGGAGATACTTAATGAGAAAACAAATAGGAACAGCACAAAAACTGGCAGGATTTCAGGAACCAAACACCTGCGTTTCTCTGCCCAGTTTTGTGCTTTTCTCTGTCTGTGCTATTTTTGCTCTTTTTGTATTATTCAAGGATCTTTGCTTGTTTTGTGTAAATCAATTGCTCCAGCATCTCTGGGATGAACAGCAGTTATATCTCTATGGCTTGACAACTCCACAAATTCTTATAATCCATGCTGAGCTTTGCTGTGGCAAATTTCTACTTCTTTTCTGGCTTCAAACCCACTGTCTAACTGGTTAAAACATAATACACATAATCTGTTAAAACATAAAACAAATAATCTGTTGAGAGCACACAGGAATGAACTTCGACTGGTTAATCTACTGAAGTACATCTGCTTACTTCTGTATCTGATCCAGTAAATTCAAAAAAAGCAGTTAAGAGTGCAGGCTCAGAATTCTCTCGTATCAGGGTGGATAAACTGAACACAAAGAGGGATTACTCTGAAGATAAACTCTTTTTCAGGTAAAAGCTATTGGATTTGTTGGCTTTTAGAAAACCATCATGGACTGCAGAAACAGTATAGCATCTGAGGAGAATCTCCTGCTAGTAAGTGATGAGTTTCCAAGTCCATGCTAAGAATCAAGCCCTTCCTCCTTTCTGAAAACATTCTGATTTGCTTTATCTTTCCCCAGAACGGGCTTCCTCACAGCAGGGAATCTGCTTTTAAATTATGTTTGAAAACTACTACATAATTAGTAAAAATAGCAGTCACTTCATTAGCCACTGCAGCATTTCCTGGCTCCTGCACGATGTGATTCTTCAGACACAAGAAGGGAAGAAGCTGGGAGCCTGAGAAGCTGGGAGCCTGCTGGTCTGTCATAGTCCCAAAATCCAAGGAAACTTACCTTTGCTGGATGCGTGGATCAGTTTGCACCAAGGGCAGGATGGCTTCCAGCACTTTACTTGCTGAGCCTGGCAGCATCTCTAATACTTTCTTATCAATTGCCATTTTGTCCACAATAGTCTTAAAGTAGCGCAATGCACTGACGACCTCCTTCTCCTTCTCCTCTAGCCATGATACATTCTAAAGAGGAGGAAAAAAGGAGAAATATGTTAAAATCTCAGGGTTTTTAAGGGCAAGGTTACTTCAACTTACCTGAAGTACGGTGACACTGAATGAGGTACGTTCCACGAGGACTGCAGAAAGCCCCTTCTACCACTAACACTTTTAAATCGAATTACTGCTTTTTCAAAAGAACAGTCAGTGCAAAACTGCACCCACACTTTAACTTTCCAAATTACATGCACTCCAAACTGAAGACTAATCTTGATTAGTTTTAGGCCAAGATTAACACTACTGATGACGTGAAGGGCACTGCTTTGAAACCCACACACCAAACTGGGAGGGTGAAAGAAAAAAAATACACACTAACTGCAGATAGTAATGATAGTGGCAAGAAAGGAAGCAACAACCACTGGTTTTAATAGAGCTGCCCCTCTGATGCAATCAAAATCCTTTTACCTTAAACACATCTCACTATCAAAAAGTCTTGTCAATCAGTAAATGCAGTGGATCAGACAAAGGGGAAGAGAAAAACAATCAGAAAAACTCCCAAACTCCAGACAATCTAAACAAGATGCCTCCATTTTTGTACCCATGCCTGATAATTTCAACAACACATGCAGTGTTCGCCCTTATTACTCTGAGTAATCTGCTGACTCCACTATGCCCACTTGTATGAAAGTGGGCTATAGTCTTGTCTCTGCATTCCCAAATAAAAAAACTCCATTCTGATCAGCCTCCAACCTCAATCATTGTGAAGCTGCTGCAAGCATGGAACTCACACGCTTTCCATGGAGACAGACTGTGAAAGCTAAGTTTTGGCATCAGTGAATGAATGTTGCAGAAGGGAACAACTCATTGGAATAAAGCTGAGTTGTGGTCACCAACTTCTGTGCCACCACCAACACTAGAAGAGGAAATTCAGAAGTGATACATGATATCTTAATGGCATTCTGGACAGGGGTATTTTTTAAAAGTTTACCAGAGTATGCCTGGAGGACTTTCAATGCCACAAGTAGTTCCTAAGTGAGATTTAAATTAACTACTGAGCACTGCCAAAGAAGGAGCGGAGAGCTTAGCCGAGTCAGGTTTCATCCATTATCTCCTCAGTAAATTCAGCTTCAAGAATTAATGACCTATGGGCATTGTGTGCTCCCCATACTCTTGTCAGCTGTTAAACTGCTGCTTTTCTGCAAAATCAGGCCAGCAGCCCAAAAGGTTTTAGGAAGAACAATTTATAGGCAGCACTGGTTAGTAATTTGGGGCCAGTTGCATAAAAGGATTAGAGTCCCAAGTCCCATCTAGCTCCAACTTTAGAAGTTCCAATCCAAGATCTGCAAACCACCCTATCATTTTCCATCTCATCTGGGAAGTGCCCAAACTCTGCTGCTGCTTCCACTTTTTGACAATATTGCTTGCCAGGCACCTCAGATTCTGCTCTGTAGCTCACAGCGCCCTGAACTCCCTTGCTGAAGAACATCCTGACAAGTTGTTGGTGTCAGAAATGACATTTGCCATTTTTCAGGCATGCGCCCTCATCACTGCGCAGTTTATTGCAGGACATGGAGAGACTCAGTCCCTCCCATGGAGGTTTTGCACTTCATATGATCCCACATTTCAGGGATGAGACAGCCCGTATATTCCTCGAGTATGACTATGGCCCAGTGGTCAGAGCTCTCAAACAGAAGTGAAAAACTGTGGATTGCAGTTCCTGCTCTGATGGCTGTTTATGTGTTTCATTCAATGACTGTTTCCTGTAGCTCACAACTTAATAGCTTAAACACTGTCCTGGCACAGAGGAACGGGCTTGACTCTGAGAGTTCAGGGCGGAGAATGACAAGAGGAAACACAAATCCTTCCTCTGAGCACATCAAGGCATGTAAATCCAGCCACCGGACCCTATGTGGGACCCAGCCCTTTTTTTGCAACTTCCCTGCTAGCTCTTTGGGTAACATTCCCCAAGAGCACTTTGTGTGAATCCCCTTCTGAGGTCCAAAGGCATCATCTGTGTGTGTGTGCACACAAACACGCCCAAAGAAAGCCGATGTCCTACGCAGGATGGCAGGTCCTGCTGCAGAGCTCAGGTACATAAATGTCAGCTGTTGCTATGAGGCTGAGGTTGGATGAGGCTCTGGGCAACCTGGTGTAGTGGAGGGTGTCCCTGCCCATGGCAGAGGGGTTGGAACTAGATGATCTTTGAGGTCCCTTCCAACTCAAACCATTCTACGATTCTATGATTCTATGAATCTGGTGTTCAGTGCTTTACTCACTGCGGCTTGAGAACAGCAGCAATAAATCTAGAGAAAGGAGTAATGACCTGGTGGGGCGGATGGATGGATATTAACATACTCTAGTGTCTGAATCTCACAAGACTAATGATATTAAGCTCTTCCACTAAACAGTTTAGTGTGTTCCTAAAGCCAAAGAAAACATGTGGTGGTCCCCCTCTGGGTTGGCAGGGAGGACCTGAACTCATCTCTCATTTCATTTCTCAACAGAGGTGAACTTGCCCCAGCAGTTACCTTACCCCAGTGAGAGAGGAGATGGGGAACTGTGGTAGCTGCTAAAGCGGCAGCACCACTTGATTCACCCATTGCATTTTTGGGCATTAAATGAGATAAACTTAACATTCAGGCAAAACAGCATCTCTCTCCACTCCCCTGCCAGCCTGATATACAGATATTTTTGCATGATTCTTGAAGTTTTCCCTAAATAATCATTACAAATGCATCATGAGTGAGATATAGCTGACCCAGAAAGGGTTACAGTGAGCTGTACACAATACACCTGATTACAGAATCTGGAATAGTCCCTTTTTTCCTGCATTTTGGCAGTGAAAACTGTATCATATCTTTACATACAGTGTTGACACTACTGTTCCTACAATATGCCCTATATTAAGAATCAAAGACAGGTTCAGGGGACCAATGTAGGCTCTGAAAAAACTCCCCCTATGTTGCCCATATCTAGGTATAAAGGGGAAGAGGAGAAGATGCCTGCATGGGTTGAGCATAACCTTCAGGTTACACAAAGTGATTTTAAATTAATTTTTGGTATTGCTATTTCTGTTCTACAGTGATGAGCTACTTCAAAAATACAAAAATAGCATCTAAAGTACTTCACAGGGAGGAAAGGATGATGGTTTATCAAGTGTGTCTTCTGACAGAAAATCTCCTGTTTGTCAACTGATGTCTGTATTCTAATAAGAGAATCTGGTGACAATCCAGGCATATCCCCTTCTCCACTCCCTCCCCACAAAGCTAACGACCGACTACATCCAAAAAATTGATTAGTTGGACAATACCTATTAGAATAGATAAGGAATGAGCCAGAAATCAACAACATTTCACAGTATAAAAATGTATATAGTTTAAATAATCATATATGGTAATAAAAATTATTGCAAGTGGTTTTTTTTCTCAAATAAAAAAATCCCAATCTATACACAAAAAAAGGTTTTACATGTTCAACATGCCTTATTAAATTCTCCTGCATTGATTTTTAGAGGAAAGAAAGAAAAACAAAAACTTCACCTATTATTAACATGCTAATATATATTTGTTATAGAACAGCATTTTGAAAAGGACTCTTCATTTTCTAATTTATTTAATATGTGGTCATATATCAATTTAAAGGATACAGCTTCCAAATTACTGCCTGGTTTTGGGGTGTGATCCTTTTAAAAGCCCCAAAACCCAGGCGAGCAAATCCTTGAAGCTGGTCCAAAGATGTGCTCAATCTCTGACAACATCAGCAGATGTCCATTATCCCAATACACCATTCTTAAACATCGTTGGAATTAAAGGCCTTCAAGGAGTACTCCCAGATTATTTTTTTCTTAATTTTTATTTTTTAGTAGCAGTCAGCAATACAAGGTGCTCAGCTCCCTAGAACACATATCCATAGACTCCTGGGGCAAAAAAAAACCACCAACCCTACAGCCTGGGAAACAAAAGCCTCATCACTTTCCACCTGACAGTGCAGAATAGGGCCAGGAACCCCTGCAGCAACTTCTCTGGGTGTTAAGCACATCACACAGCAGAAGATAACTGTATCTTGCTGACTGCTCTCAATAACACTACAACAATCCTCAGCAGAGATAATGGAAAAAAGTTTGCATGTCTGGCGCTGCACATTGGATGAGACTTTCAACATCAACTGGGAAAGATTTTGAATTATCATAAATAACCTCGACAGTTCTTCACTTTTGGCTTTGATTTATACTTGAAAACTGACTGCGACAGCACTGCTACAGTCGCCAGTCTACATAATCAGGTCACAACAGCAGAGGAGATAACACTTGGATAGGTTTGTGCTGGGAAAGA